TCCATGCTTGATATTATCCAACTGCAGAATGCCTAAGTTTTTGTAGGCTTCATTTTCGTTGCATTTAATTAGTTGGGCATCATCAGAGGATTTTTCGGTTTTGGCCTTAATGGCATTTGTGCGGATAGCTTGTTCTTGTGCATTATTATTGTTGTTGTTGTTATTGTTGTTGTTATTATTATTATAATTACTACTACATATTATTACATATTATTAGGCTTAATGTTGCATTTTATGCTTTTTTAATAATTAAAATCTGCCTATTCCAAATCTTTGAGAAGGACTCAACAGATAAAATTGCCAAATCCAATCTAAGGGTGTGACCAGCCATAATAATAATCATTACTGTGTATTAATCATCCACAACAAGGCAAGGTCACAGTCCCTGAGTCACTAAGCAACATCAAACTCATAATCACACACCTGTTTAAGGCCTAGTGATCTAGTACTTCCCAAACCTGGGCAAATGACCTAAACTTGATTTAAGTGTTGTTTTTTTCTTTGAATAACAACCAACGAGCCCATTACTTTTAATCACCAGAACAATTAACTTTAAAAAAGGATATTTTTGGGCAAGGAAGGAAAGTTTGGGAAGACTTCACTAATCCCTGCAGCCAAACAAACCCACCTGTTCTCCATTATCTCCAGCTCCAACATTTTTAGCAGCTCATCCCGGTATGATTTGCCTGGCCAAACTAACCCCGCAATCTCCCCTACACCGGGCCCAGCTTCGATCGTGCTGCCAACTTAATTCCTCGCCCCTTTCCCTTTTGCCCGCAGACTGACCAACACCCTCTGCACGCAGCTCCACGGGGAGCGGGGGAAATCCCTCTCTCCACTTACACACACACCCCCAATTCTTCACCTTCCCGTGCGAGCTCTCGGGAGCATCAACTCCTTGTCTCTATGGTAACACCCCCCCCCCCGTTCCTCGGAAGCCTCGCCTCTTAAAGGAGTCGCGTCCAGAAGGCTGAAACAGCCGCCAGCCCAGAGTGCAGACAAGCACCCTCGGAGAAACAGCCTTTTGGCAAAGGGTGCAATAGGTATCCGATCCGGCCACTTGCTACATTCGCGTTCCCAGAACCGTACAGGGGCATCGAAGGAAAGGCTGCGCGGGGGCATCCGAGCCGGGAGGCAGCGCGATCCTTGGAGGTGCGAAGTTCG